CTGCTTCCAGCCCTCGCCCTGGGAACTGCCAGGGGAAATAGCAGGCTTTGCTCCCCACGGCAGCAGCTCGGAGTCTGCCGAAGTAGAAGGTCAGCTGATGGACCCTGAGACACATGGTCTGCATTAGGGAGGCCTCCAGCCAGCTGCTCGCTTGCTCTCCTGCTTCGGTTTAGATGTGGTTGGTGGCCCAGCCCAGGCTGCAGGAGAGGCAGGATGCCTGCTTCGGATGATCCCTGCTCTTTTCCTCCGCAGTGGATGTCAGCACCATAACCACAAGAGAGAATTTTATTCTTCTGTCTCGATCCCTTCCCATGCCCCAGCTGGGCTTGGCCCATGGTGGGACAGGGGGGACACCTCCTTTCTCTGGACCCTCTCAGCTCATCCCTTCACTAGCCCCTCGCACCCTCAGGATGCTGTGCACCACGTCTGACCATGCGATGTACGTGGGGTGCCGGTGTCTGGGTGTCTCCACGATGCTCCCCAGCAGCACCCTAGGCAGTGGGTGAGGAGCTTCCCCAGCAGAAGCCTGTTTCTCTGTATTTAACCGAATCTCCCAAGACCGTGTCCGCTCTTCTCTTGAACTCTCAACCGCCCTCAGCAGGGCTCTTGTCAGCTCGTCTATCCATGCTGGCGTCCGGCCCCACGGGCTGCTGCTGCATCCCTGTGCTGGACGAAGCCCTGGCCCCATCCCGCGCTGGGGTGCCGGGGTGCTGACCTCCGCATCTGTGTGGGTGCTGTGAATCTGCAGCCCCTGAGCCCACCCATCAGTCCGTCCCCATTCGCCTCGGGACAGGGTGCTGCAGCCCAGCAGCCTGGAAAGACCCTCAGGAGAGTCTGTTTTTCCGTGTTCATTTTTTTTTCCTGGGGGAAGGTGTTTCTAGGGGCCGGGTGTGTGGAGGCAGAGGTTGTGTTTCTCCTTGCCCACGTGGCGCTTATAGCAACCTTCCTCCTCGCTACGTGGCTGCGGCAGATGAGGTAGCGCCTGTCGTCGGGCCAGTTCCCGAGAGTTAGGAGGCAAGCTGTTACCCTGATGAGCCTTTCCCACTTCTGCCACAGCCATCTCCCTTTGGAGGAATATGAACCCTTCCAGCGGTGGCTGCTGTGCCTCGGCTGGATTCCCCGGCTGGTGCCAGTTGCTGCCGAACAGAGGGGTGCAGCGTGGGGATGCCGCCGGGTCAGCCGACGCCACGCTCTGCTCCTCTCCCTGTTCTACACTGCTTTCTAACAGCTCTCCGTATCATCCAAACATGGCTGGCGTTCGCCC